TATTTCAAGTCCTATTCTTATCCTTTGTAATTTTCTCTGAAAGATAGTTCAGTACGATACTATATTGTTGCATGAACATCATTACCATCAAATTCTCCCAAGTCTTTGTCTCTATACACCTGGTCACTTTTGCACAAGAAAACACTTATTTGTCTCTATCTAGGGATTATTCTTCTTTTCCTCCTTACCAACAAACTCATCATAGGATTTCTTAATCTTTGTATGGTTATTGTATACCTCTCTTTGTGATAATGGTGTAAAACATGGATAAGACCATTTAAATATAAGGAGTATTGATTTTTTCCGCCGTTATGGTTCACATTCTTATTATACTACCATGGCCAACCCAACAATAAATGTCTAGCTTGTATAGGAACTACATTATAGAGCACTTCATCTTTATACTTACTAATGGAAAACGAAACTCGAACTTGCTTAATGACCTTAACCTTTTTACTATCATCTAATTAGTGTAGTCTATAAGGGTTAGGATGCCAACCATGCCTTTTCTACAAGAAGAGTTGATGCAAAACCCAAGATCAACTAACGTGATGAAAAATGTTGCAAATACATCAACATGCATAAACCATCAACAGATCCTCATCATTTAACCTAATAATTCACCTAGAATTAAGAACTAAAGTAAGTAGGATTGTTTGAATTGATTAAAAATGCTATAAATACGAACTTGATAAGTTAGGAATCAATTTGAAAGAAAATTGATAAAACACCATAAGGAGTTACCTTAATAAGTTAAATCAATCATCTACTGAACAAGATGGTTAAAGAACTCATTCAAAGAGTAATCACAAAAGCATAAGATAAAGCAAACTTCAGTTTTATTTTTGGCATAATTGATGAATGAATTACAACTTAAAAGTGGTGACCTTTATATAGGCCTTCACTTTATGTATTTAAATGAAACTCAAAAACTAGAATCTTAATTAATTCCTTAATTTAACTTAGTTTAGAAAAGCATTAAAATAATAATTAAAATAAATAATTTAATTAAAACATAAATTTTTTTCTGTTGAGATGAAAGAGTGTTGTGGTCAAAATCCTCCTCTAGAATTTGACTTGAATTCAATCTTTTTTATTTAATTAATTATTATGGTGGAAGTTGAATTTGAAGATGCTTTAAAATCTTCTATATTGAAGTAGAAAATAATTCATCTTCCATGAGGAGATCAAAGAGAAAATCCAAGAGAAAATCCAGGAAAAAATTAAGGAAATCATCCAAGAGAAACTCTAAGAAAAAAAACCTAGGAAATAATCCAACATTAACTATGAGAAAATTGAGGATGAGAATTTGGCTAAAAATATTTTAGTTGAATTCACATGAAATTCTTCTTACTTATTTGCTTGATGATTTGTCATTCCCTTTGAAGTAGAATTCTTATGCATGTAGTTCATCAATTTAGTTGAAAGTTTATTCAAAAAAGAACCCAATTTGTCTTTAATTTGGTCACTAAAAGGAAGAGAAGTGAGAATTCTCCATCGTGTAGGATTCCCGCATG